GGGGGGGCTTGATGAGAGATTTCTTTTTTCTGTTCTGTATGTTTAATATTTCTTTTAGCCTTATTGATTTTATTGTTTTAGCTTTTAGGACATAATTGCATTGGGGTTGTTTTGGGGGTTGTTGTTTTTTTTGGGGGGAGGGGGGTCGGTAGTATGTATCACTGCTGTTTTGCTTATATTGCCAATCTATTTCATATGCCTCTTTCAGTGAGTTTCAAAGAAAACCCATTGTCATGTGAACCCGTCGCTTTCTTGGATGTTTATTGCTACACCTTCAAGGAAAACTAGTAAGCTTGTCAAATGTTATGGGAGGTTTTTGAAAGAAAGGGATCGGCATACTTCTCTTCTCCACAGTGAAAATGTAAAAAAAAAAACTGAGCAACTTCACGAAAGTTCTAATGGCATGTGCTCCTTTAAAGGAAATGTATGGCACACATCGTGGATGAGCAACAACTCGAAAACGTACACATGTATACAAACTTTTGTCAGTAAATCTAAAATGTACGATGTTAGAGTGTGTTGCATCTTGTTCGGGGAGTACTCCATGTTGCTCACGTTCTCTGCCACCACCGCTGACACTTTGATTTTTCTCTCTCTTCATTGAATTACCTCTTAGGCTTGACAAAATATCACTGTGCTGTGAATTTAGCTTTAAAAATTTGACACCTAGACGCTGTTGCTTTTTTGGTGTTTTTTTTTTTAAGACAAAATCTGACTAGAAGTAAACTTATGTTTGTTGATGAGGGATGCTTAGTCACAGCTGGTCTCTGTGTGTACAGTTTGTCGCAAGTACAATCATCCTGAGGAAATGTGTGTTCAAATCTAAATGAGTGGGTGGTTGAAGGACACAACTGGTGGTTCTTTTTTCTTTACTTTCACTCTTTTTTTCTGTTTGTCTGTCTTACTTTTCCCCACCACTAAATAACCATTGTCGTACAGTGGAACTCGGATTCAACGAGGTTGCCGGGCCTGACCTAAAATCTCGTTGAATCCGAGTGTTCGTTATAGCAAACACAAGGGTTTGTGTAGATAATTACAGGCACTGAGCAAGTAATGTATAAAGAGAAGTCACAAGTAGTGCCTGAAATGCCTTCATATTATGAGCCGTGTAAAAAAAAAAAAAGACCGATTCGTTCAAATGCACACACCGGTTTCATCTCGATTGTTTACCAAAATGTTGTGTTGCTGTGCAGAGCCTAGCATACGACGACTTTTGATTTCATAGACCAGCGCACAATTCATTACGTAGATCTACGTCAAGACTACCTTATTATTGTAATAATGATCAGTTGCCGAGGGGAAAAAAGACTGTGACGTGTTTGTATCTGCAATGTTCAACGCCCGTACCGCTAGTGCCCCCCCCCCCCCCTTCCCTGACATGTACACACTGTCACGTAGGTGTGCAGGCCACCTATCCAACCCCGCCACACGCCAGAGTAGACACGTGTGCGTGCCAACTATGCATGTGTTGGTATGAAAAAGGGCCGCTGATTGGTCGCATGCAATCGGCTAATTGAATTATAATGGTTCACGATGCAGGTGCAATGGATGGTTTCCGGGAATAGATCAAGTTCGTTCTGGGAGAAAAATGAGCGAAGCCACGTCTGCAGGGCTGTTCACCCTGGAAGCGACCTCGTTGAATCCGAGCTCGCTGATGTAAGTGCTCGTTGAATCCAGGTTATTTTTATTGATTTTAAAGAAGAAAAAAAACGGGGAATCTATCTCATCTCGTTGAATCCGAGTTCTCGTTGAATCCGAGTTCCACTGTATCAATGTGCTTCTCTTTACTCTGACAAAACACACAAACGAGTCTTTAATGACGTCTGAATTTACATTGTCTTTCCTGGATTATTTTTCCAGGCAGCCTGCCGCTAGCTTCTTAATAACCGTTACGGTGTCAAGAAGTGCGTTTGACTCAGTCAAAATGGCAAACAAATCTCTTTATGTTTATTGTCCAGATTTCTTTACGAGGAACTGAAGAGAGTGTATGCTGGCCAGCCGAGTGACGTCTTTATCAAGCCAAGCCCAAGCAACGACAACCGATGCAGTCTGCGACCAGGAGTTACTTTCCATTTTTTTACAAGCCATACTCCATGTGAGTGAACACACTAAATAAAGAAATGCTGAACTATGTCAGTAAACTGTAAGGTTTCCTGTAGCTTTGTCTGTTAGCTGGAATTTCATGTCCCACCCTGCCTGGGCGGGTCGCGACTGAGGGCATTGTAGCAGCTTACCTCCCAAATGTTCTGAATTGTGCTGATGAAGTTGATGTGTGCGGATCACATTTTCAAGTAAAACATCTTCATTTGTTGTAAGCTTAAATCAAAGAAAGAATCAAAGAGGCGACTATTGTTGTGCTAAGGAAAACTAAGATCGGGCTTTGAAATAATGGAGGGATAGGCACGGCTGTTCACGAGCAGTACTTTAGTTCTTTCGGCACCCCGCAGCGCCCCGACGCTCAGCGTAATTCGAACCAGCCATTACCAACGGGTCAAGAGGTCAGCGCGGGGAATTATACCTGACTGACAGATTCGCAATGAAAATGTTATTGCTGCAGTTTTCAGCTTTGTTTAACCTGCGACTAAGCCCAAACTACAACACCAACTGTGCATAAAACCGTATACTTTGAATAAGCATCATCTGACATATTTCTTAGAGCAATCATGCAACTAATTAAGATGAAGAAATACGAGATGACGAAGAATGAAAAGTGAATAGATGTTTAAACATTGATAGAGGGTCATGATTTATTTCATTAAATTTGAACATGTTAGCTGCTGTCGATTTTGACAATTCTAAGATATTGGGTCAGAAATTGAGTAAAGTTTCAAAATTACTTGGCTGCATCTGTGTGTCATTGCCTAAAGCAAAGATATTAAGTCTTGAGTGGAGATTCGCGGCTTTTCTCAATATGTCTGCAGTTCCCCAAGTCCAGCTGTCACATGTGACGACTCTTGATAAAAACGTATCACTCTAGGATCGCGGGTATCACCAGTCAGGGTGTCAGCACTTATAACTGCATTTAAGCCTACTGTCACAATATTAGTAAACACACTATATCATTATTATTACATTTTAAGAGATGCTAGATCTAGATTTGAAACAAAACACAAACAAAAAAAATCTTGTGAACACTGAACAAAAAACTTCTATATCATATTAAAGAAGAAAAAAGTCACAGAAAAACGACACAAAAGTTGAAACTTACACCATTTGTACGTACAGTATACCTCTCCCTACTAGATTTATAAAAAGAATTGAAAGTGATGGTGAATTTACGAAGTTATTGATGTTCAAAATTCAAATAACACTGAAAAGGGATCCGACTTGATAGAAACATGTCTCGAGGAACGTATAGATCTATGTAAAATAAAATTTTTAATAAAAAAAAAATCACAGAAAAACGACACAAATTTGAACCTTGCACAATTTGTACAGTATACCTATCCCTACTAGATTTCGAAAAAAGAATTGAAACTGATGGTGAGTTTACAAGGTTATTGACGTTTAAAATTCAAATAACACTGAAAAACGAATCCGATTCGATAGAAACACATCTTAGAGAACGTCTATATAATGTTTAAAATTAATTAAAAATCACAGAAAAACGACACAAAGTTGAAACTTGCACAAGTTGTACAATATATTTATCCCTACTAGATTTTAAAAAAAGAAATGAAAGGGATGGTGGCTTTACGAAGTTATTGGCGTTTAAATTCAATTAACACTGAAAAAGGAACCCGATTCGATAGAAAAACGTCTTGGGGAATGTAGTTGGATAAATTCAAGGTTGTGAACTGAGATCAACCAAAGTTATATCGTCTTTTAGGGGGAAAGCTGGGCTTTAAAATGGTGGGTCATATGGTGATATCACATCTTTAGATCTGGAGATATCGGGGTGGGAATGACACCATAATTTGGAGGAAATGCATACACGGGCAGGTGGGGGCGCGCCACTGGCATCACGGTAGTGAGCACGGCTGACCGCGGATTTAATGACCAACACATGGGTGGCACTGACCGCTGGCACGGAGCAACTAAAGGAGCGGTTTCCGGGCTAGTTGAACAGCCGTGTAGGAACAACATGATTTGATCATTTGAAGGAGCATTTTCCTGGCTGGCTGAGATTTTTTAGCTGTTTTTATGTTACATGGTGTTAATGAGATTTGAAATTGTCTTTCATACGTTTGCAAAAGGAACCTTTCAAAATATTTGTTTTCTTTTAATTTTTTTGGTCAGCTTATTATGATTCCTTCACTTTACTGTGTCGGTGGATGTTATAAATATTTGATGGAAACTACTGATCACAGACTATCAGAATCAGAAATGAAAACCCTTTGTTGGAAACAGATTAGAATAGGGTATAACTTATAAGAGATTAAATAAGTAAACTCTTTCTTTCATAAATTAAGCTAAAACCGCTCAGCAAACTGTTTATTCTGTGCTGTTTGTTTGTGTTCAAAATAAACTTGTTCTGTCTTGTGTGTGTGAAGTGCCGACTGCTACTCCACAGGTGGCGATGCCTCCATCTTCCCAAAGTCAACTCGGAAAGAGAAGACAGGAAGTTCTGACAAGAGAGCATCTCCAACTGGAAGCTTGGGATCAGAGTTTCTGAAATGTGCTGATCAATCTCAGAAAGCGGAGGAAAATGATTTGAATATTGAAAACGATAATGATTCCACTGAGAAAGATGGTAACAAAGTTGCTGCTTTGACAAACTGCCAGTCTTCTATCACTGAGGGGTGTGTGAACTCGTGTGAATATAGAAACTCAAATGAAATTACGGATGTTGTGAGTAGGAAAAGGAAATCAGGCAGCCCTGGTATGAATAAACAGCAAAGTGAAGGAAGTGTTGATGATGAAAACATTGGACATGTTGTGAAAAAAGCAAGACATTCGGAGGACAGAAGTTTGAAGCTGAAGTCTGCCTCAAATGATGAGGGTAAGCATTTACTGTAAATAACAACTCTTTATTAACATAAATCAGCTGTTAGTTTTTTATACTTATACTCCTGAATTGAAGTCTGGTATTCGCCTTCAAGGCAATATTAACTATGGTAGAAAAACTCGAGGATCTCGATTGCTTAAAACGTTGTACCCCACAATACACTTTGTTACCCTAGAATTACGAATTTCTATAAGCTCAGTACCTGGTTTTGAGAAATGGAATGAAAACAATTTTGAGTTTCACAACATTTCAAGCTTTTTCGTATTCAATTCTTTGAATATCTTGATAACGACTTCGTATAATCTTACGTTTTTGATAGTGTTGACGGAACATTTGGTTTCTGACTCATGGCCCTAGTAACTCAAAAATGTCAGATAAAACTTTGTAATTCTGAGGAAGCGACTTGTCTGACAGCATTAAATTTTACCATGGTCTAACAAAGAAGTTGGATTTAGAGCTGTTTGCCTTTTAAGGACTTCTGGTAACCTTGTCAAGCTAGATATTGTGACTGGTCCAATTTTCTGGGAGAATATGGACTTAACTCTTTCCCATTATAATTTTTTCCCCAGTTTGCTGGAATTATTTTTCAATATGGCCCAGGTATTGCTTGGTGACATTTTTTGAAATGCGAAACTAGTTTTACACAAACATGTACCTTATATTACATATTTAGTATCATTTTAAAGGTAGTGATAATTATGTAGAAGGTATTTGGGGCATTTGTTTAAGCATCTGTGTTTTGTTGGTTGAAAAAAAAAAAATTTGTCCTGCCCTCTCAGAATAGTGAGTTATCAGCAAATCACTGTCAAAACTGTCAGACCAATCTAGATCTAGCTCTGAATCGTAGACATCTTCAGAGTCCTAAGTGGGTGGTTGGCGGGTGCTCTGGTGTGGTTTGCTTTTTCTTTCCTATTAAACATCTATCGTCTTTACTCCCCTCCTTCTTTTGTGTGTTTGTTACTCTCTTGTACCGCCTCTAATCTTCGGCACTGAAACGGACGAGAGGTCTGTCTTTCTGTTTAAAAAAAGGAAAAAACGGTTCTGTTACTGTCATTGACTGCAGGTCTATATTGTCCCAATAAATATGCTCAAAACCAGGGTTTTTTCATCCAAATTTGGAGAGATTTCAGATAATCAATTATTGTCGCTGAGAAAAGGATTGTTATAAAATAAAAACCATCGCTAATGCATATATGTTTATGCAAAATGAAACTTGTTGTGAATTGATACTCCCATTGTCATAGACAGGAAAGAGTCAAGTCTACATGTCCTGATAGAGACCTGTTTTATTATTATTCTTTTATCAATGATTGAGCCTCCGTAGGAATGCCATTGTTGTTTTAGCAGACTAATCTGTTGCAGTAAATAATCATTTACAAATGAAAAAAAATGCTTGACAAATATGAGGGTTTACAGTAAATTATTGACAAGTATGAGGGTTTACAGTAAATTATTGACAAGTATGAGGGTTTACAGTAAATTATTGACAAGTATGAGGGTTTACAGTAAATTATGAAGGTTTACATTAAACCATTGACAAATATAGGGTTGACATTAAATTATTGACAAATATGAGGGTTTACATTCTGTTTTAAAGAACATGGAGACTATCACGTTGTAAAAATAAAGAAACATTTCAATTGGGGAAAGAAATCGTCAAGAAAGAACTTTCAGGAGATACAGCATTTCTCCTATTTCTTTTTACTAACTCAGATAACTATAAAATCTTTAATGCTGCACACTTTGTTAGTGTTAGAACCAATAAACACAAAAGCGCCGGTTGATGGGGATAAGCAGGGTAAAAAAAACCTAATCAAAACTAAACAAAATTGTGACTGTAACATAGAAATACTGTTTTCGTCCCCTCAGCCGAGGACATATATAGAACGGGGGCGAAGTGCGTGCCGGGCGGAGGCCAGGATTTGCACGCCCCGGCCACGTTGTACCACACGGTGGGGCTTCTTAGGACCAAGCCCGGCCGGGGCGACCGCACGGAGAGTTTGTCGTGCAGCGACAAGATGGCTCGGTGGAATGTGCTCGGGTGTCAGGGAGCTTTGTTGAGCATGCTCCTTGCTGAGCCGATATACTTTGCTTCAGTCACCGTAGGGAGGTGAGTGGTTAGTTGCCCGAACTTTCTGTCAGTATAGAGAGGCAAGTGGTAAACTATCAATGTGATTGCCCCATGCAAACAGACTCCAGATGCTGTGTTTGAAGATTGTCAAGAATTAAAATCAAAGTCTATGGATGTTGATAATCTAAATGTGTACTCTGGATCCTATGAGTTTACTTAGTCACAAATGTAAATGTTTTTACGCCTCCATCAACACAATTTAGATAATTTCGGAGACAAGCTTCCGACCCTGCTTGTTGAGGCCAATCCAGGCTGAGAGGAATACGACATCCAAGCTGAAAAACGGAAGATATTTTTTGAAAACTTCTCCAGACTCAGGCCTCTTGCTTGTGACAGTGAAATGTCTAACCACTACACCACAGACACCGATTTATTTTGTAGAGAAAAAAACTGTTGTCAATGTTGTGTGCAGGGCAAGTCATCTCATAACACTCTGATGTACCATGTCATCTCACAGGCAAGTCAATTGAAAGGAAATAGAAAAACTGTACTATATCTTACCAAAGAACATATATCATATAGTCAAGTACGCAAACAGCAACATTAGCTGGACATGAAAATCTCTTCCTTTTGTATGAATTTCGCTATGTTTGTGTTATATTATATTTACAAAAATTATACATGTATAAGGAAATATCTGTTCACTATATTATATGTGTGTTTACTTTGTGTGTACTAGGCTGTATGAATTTTTCAAACAAATATCTTGATAGTGTGAATAAATGAATGTTTTTGTATTATTCTGCGCAGGTCGCCATTCTGTAAGTCAGCGATGGGCAGAGCGCTCTACATGAGGCTGACGTCCCCTGACGTGTCGTTCCCCGCTCCGTATCACCTCCACCAGCCCGTGTTTCTTCAGGCCCCAGACCAGGACTTCGAGGCCAGTAAGGCGGCTGTCCAGAGAGAAGCCAATCTGGCAGCCAAGTCCGGAACATCAAACCAGAATATAGTGCCTTCCTCTGCAGGTGTGTGGCACTTTAGGTTTAGGAAAAGTTTTACAGCATTTGTATCACAGTTTTATGTCATAAGTGCCAAAGATTTTAGGTGCTACTAGAGAGTAACATACAAAGAAAAGGAGGGGAGCGCTAGATAACGAGGGTAAATGTTTGGTAAGAAAGAAGGAGCAATTTGTGGGTGCTCTGGTGTGGTTTGCTTCTTCTTTCCTATCAGACATCTATCATCCTTATCTCCCCTCCTCTTTTTTATGTTTATTATTCTCTTGTAACACCTCTAATCTTCTGGCGCTCATATGATCTTCTGCAGTTGCGAGCGCTGTAAAAACCTCTACTAAAACAAAACAAACCACACCAGAGCACCCACCAGCCACCCATGTGTGGATCTTTGTAGACAAAATGATTATCTTTTGAGGTTATGGTTTGTTTGTGTAGAGAATGATTTGTTGGTTGTGTTTTTGTTTTCATCTTTGTTTTTATATATATTTTTGGATGTGGGGAGAGTTGTTTTGGGTGGGACTTTTTGGTAGGCACACATACAAAATATGCACACACACAAACATATAGGCCTATATACAAAATCACACTCACATATACCCGCATTCTCATGTCATACTCTTTCACACACTTGTAAACATCTATACAAACCAAACAAAAGCACAGAGCAGGTTTTGTTTGAAGACTTGCATTCTTCGGACTCAATTCTCTCCCTCCAGCCATCGCGTGGTTTGATTCGTCCCAGACGAACGGCTCTGACCATGACGTCACGGTGAGCGGCCGGCGACAGGGCATCACCAAAACTGATGTAAACAAGCCAAAAGCCAGGTGGGCATCATTGTACCTTATTGAGCTTTTGTACACTCAGAGAATGTTTACAGTAGTAAATCTGTTTTGGTTTTTTCTTTTGGGG